ATGGAAGAACCACTGAACTAAATCCCTGGGCCTCAATTTACTTTTGAAGTGAAACTTTTTTTTAACTGATGATTAGCATTGACTTTTTCAAAGGACCACTATTTTTTCAAATTTTCTATTTTAGACTTGTTATATTTTCCTCTTACTTATGATCACTGTATTTTTAGGGAGAAGCTCGGCTCATACTTTGATTGCTTTGGCTGTATCCTGTAGTTTAACATATTCTATTTCTATTTTCACTTAAAATTTTTCTATTACTTTTTGGATTCCTTCCTAGGTTAAATATTTACTGTCATTTCCTTTCTGGATTAAATACTATTCACCTTTTTCACATTTTCTATGTTATGAAGCATTTTATTTTGCTATTTCTAATTCTGTTATTTACTCTCTGAATGTAAGGCATATAGAATTTTGACTAAATCTTTCTATCTTGTGATGCAGAATATGGTCAATCTTTGGTTAAGATATCCTTGGACAAAAAGTGAATTAGCTTACACTGCCATGTAATTGCCTGCACAAATACTAAGGCTGTCTAATTTTGTATAACAGCACCATGTGTACTAGTTAATCTTGCTTTTGAAGTAGATATTTCCACTTGTGTATTGCAATTCTGATAATTTTTTTCTGTTCAATAGATTGCTTTAGAACTTGGGAATTTTTTAATGATCAAGTTATTTCTCCTTTTTCCTTTATTGTAAAATCTACTATATTATGAAAAGAATCTCAAATCAGTCTTTATTTTTATAGGAACATGCATTTGATTTGATCTGAAAATAAATAAAATTGATTTACTTTACAAGAAAAGTGGTTGTGCATGTACCCACCCTACCCCATCGACCTCACCCTCTTGGCAAACCATTGACCTATTTTTCCTACTAGGCCTGGGCTGCAATTGTGTTACCTGGCTAAGTCACAATTAGAGCTTATAGAGGACAATCTGGCAATTACACTGTGTTCCTGGAGTCAATGTACATTCATAAATCCTCTGAGGCATGAAGTCTAAGACCTTGTGACTTGCTAACAAAGTCTAAGTCATTAGAGAAAATGAAGCATATAGTATATTTGGTATAATTTCACTTTAAAGTCTGCTATAGAACCATCTTTTTATTATTACATTTGATCATTGGTTAATAATGATTATTTGTCCATAACGTCCAAGTATTAAAGTCTCCTTTTTCTCTTAGCAGCTAAATATTTCTATCTAGAGACAGATGGTTTATCTTCCAATCCTCTTAGAGGCAGAGAATTCATCCTGGGAATAAGAGCCTCCAAGTGTGTTCCACATATGAATGAAATGTTAAATGAGGCTCTCAATGGTCATTTTTTATAGAAAAGGCAATAAGCAAGTATTTGGTCTCCAAATGGTCAAAGGCCAGGAGGGTATGAGTTCTAGGCAAGTCTTTTTCTCTGTGATGCTTGCTTTACAGTCCAGCCCCCTCTGGTAATTTCTGTGTCTGTTTAGCCTTTATTTGGGATAATACTGGCATCAGCCTTCTCAAGAGTTGCTCAATGGCCAGAACTTTTAGGTTTTCGGCATATGAAAACCTAATTTGGTTTTTGTTTCTTTGTACTAGGGACCGAATTCCTGACCCTTGTACTTGCAAGGCAGGTGTGGGTGTCACTGAGCTAAATCCCCAGGCCCAAGTCATTTGTGTTTTGTAATTATTTTGAAAAACTGTAACATTAATTTTGGACCAAATTTCATAGTTTGTTATCATTTAATATTAGCTTCTATATCCCTCCTACATAATTACAATATGTAATAAGATTTTTATTGTTTGGGGGCCAGGGATTTAGCTCAGTGGTTCTGTTGCCAGCCTTCTTGCAAGCACAAGGGCCCGAATTCAATCCATGGTACCAAAAAAAAAGACTTTTATTATTTGGAAATACAGTCCAGAGAAAATATTTTACTTTTTTATTAATTTTTATTTTATGTTTTGTGAGACAGGCTAGTCCTGAACTCAGGCTAGCCTCTGACTCGCAGCAATCCTTCTGCCTCAGTCTCCTGGGTGCTGTGTTTACAGACGCCTGCCTGCACACCTTGTGAGAAAATATGACAATAGCAATAATGTCTACCACTCATCAATCCCTTGCTCTCTAACCACTACTATGCTGATCATTTCACACGCACAATTCACAGGATTATTTCCACGTTTTACAGATAAGGGAACTAAGCTTTGTGACTGTCTCTCCACCAGGCCTCAGGACTACAGAATGCCCTGGGAGCAGAACTGCAGCCACACCTTTCTGGCTTCAAAGCTGCAGGTGACTACTAAGCCACATGTCAATCAGCAGGTCAGAGCAAGGACTATTCAGCCCCAAATGTCATTCTCCATTTTTACCTTTGCTATTTCTTCCAGTCCATTCCTCTTGGTTTTGATTGCTTTTGGTTCTAAGTAAAGAACACACTTGAATAAATGCAAAATGCTCCTTTATTCAACACTTTGGCCAGCTCTTCCTACAAGTCAGGGTACCAGGTGGGTGATCTAAAGACAACAGCGCCTGCCTTTGGAGAAGGTCGGGTCAGAGTGAAAGAAGCAGACTGCAACAGCACTGCTAGCTATATTCCAACAGAGATGCGCACAGAATTCTGTGGAAGCGCACCGAAGTGCGCAATGATGTGCAAGTGACCTATTCCAGAGCAGGCGTTTTCCAGGCAGAGAAGAGTTAGTCGGGGTGACCACAGAGTATGCTCAGCGTAGGCGATAAAACATTCTGCAGAGCCAAGTGTAAGATACAATCTGGGGCCAGGGGTGCAGAATGCGGAGAGAGGCTTGTGGTGAGAAATAAACTTGGAAAGGTACAGACTAGGGACAGGTGGTGACAGTCTTAGAACAAGACCAGACACAGACTCAGGTAAAGGGGCAGATGAGTAATGCCAAGCAGTGGCGGGGTGAAGACATCAGGGAGTGGGCTGTTTGCCCTGCAAAGAGACTCCCAACCTCCCTTTGTGCCTCTTCCAGCTGTAGTTCACTGCGGCCAGGAAGAATGCAGGGCCTAATTTGCAGATCTGATGTGCCAAGATAACTCAGAGATCTAAATTTTAGTATAAGATCTCTGACTTGTAAATATCACTAGAAAACTCAAAAGTAAAAATAAGTGTATGAGCTAAGCAAAACAACTCTGCAGCTGAATTGGGCCCATCTCATAGAGAGGTGACTCTATCTGTGCAGAAAAGTAGCTCAAGTTTGTCACAAAATCTCAACTTCTTAGTAAAAAAATGGAGATGCTATCATATAAATAATTATGCATAACTACAAATTCACCTTCTTTTTACCTTGTGGCTTTTAGGTACGGACCAGAAACAATTTTACCAAATAAATATCTCCAAAGATTATTTTTCACATATCTTACTAAAGTTCACTAATTGAAATTTCTAAATTATCCCTTTCTATACTATTTGAAAAAATTAGTCTTCAAGATTAAAAAAAATCTATTGTAAGTGAGATGCAAACTACCTTTAGCATGTGAAGGTAACTTAGATGGAGTCAGGGCTAGCACCCTGAGATTCTCTGTAGGCAGCACAGCAGGGAACCCCAACTCGGGGCAAAGGGTCATGTCCCAGGAAAACCAAAGTTATGTTTAACCCATCTGAAGCTACTGCCTAACCTTTAGCTAAGCACTGCACGGCTACTGTTCCACTTTAACTGTCAGATATTTTCTGTCTTGCTTCCTCAAACACCTTATAAAAATTTTCCTTTTGCTCCCTGCTGAAGCCCAGAGGAGTAGTAGTTTGGCACTGCCCGATTCTTAAATTGCTGTCTGCTCAAAGAAATAATAAATGTTGAAGGTGATGGAAACACTAATTTCCCTGATGTGCACATCACACATTTTATTAATGTATCGAATTATCACACTGTACCTCACAAATATGTCCAGGGAGGGTACCCTTGAAGAGGCTGTTTTGAGTGTGTCTGAGGAAACAGAGTTCCAGGCACAGGGAAACGGGAGCCCCGACAGCCGGAGGGCAGTGAGTGCGGGACTTCTGAGAACAGGAAGTCAGGTCACATACAGTTAAGACCTGAGTGACATGAGAGGCCTGGAGGGTTCTGGTTGCAGAGCCACTGCTTGACTCAGGCTCTGCAGGCACTGCTCTGGCCTGCTGCGTCGGGCTGGCCGAGGGAAGACCAGTCAGGAGGCACAGGCAAGAGATGACGGTGTCTTGGGCCATACGGGGCCCAAGAAAAAGAGTAGAGTCAGGAGTACGTTAGGTCTTCAGCTTGAGCAAATGAAAGGGAAGGCTGCCATGTTACTGAGATTAAGGAGACCAAGGAAGGAGCTGCTGCTTCTGCTGCTGGTAGCAGGGGCTGTGGAGAGGCAGAAGTGACTCTGGCCATGGTTAGCGATGCCTAATGAAGACAGCCGGATGTTCAGGTGGGGCCGGGATCTGGTGAAGACCAAGGAGACCGCTCAAGTGGTAAAAAAAAATAAAAATAAAAGGAAAATTATAAAATGATTCTCCTGAAGGAGATTCAAGATGTTTTCACTTATACCATTTTATATCACTTATAAAGTTCTGCGATGACTGTAAAAGTATGTGGCAACATCATGTCGTTAAGAAGAGGCTACAGCTAGATCACTGGTTCCTAAAGTGTGGGCCTCAGGCCAAAAGCATCAACATCACCTATGAGATTGTGAGAAACGTGAATCTGTGAATCACTGGGCCTCATACCGCCCAGTCAGTCATAAACTCTGGAGATAAGGCCAGAGGAGGTGCAGGCGAACCATCCAGGAGACTGTTACGTACACTGAAAACAGAGAGCCAGAGCAGAAGCAGTGCAGCGTTTCCAGGTTTCAAACACTTAAAAGAAAAGGAATTACTTTTGTTTTTAAAGAAAAAAATCTCTTTATTGTTTGAAATATAAAAAAGAGTAAACAAAAGTTGGCATGACATTTCTTCTCAATGAAGTTTTAAAAATATAATGCCACTTAGTCTTTGCAAGCTCTTGAAAATGTCTAGATCACATTTAATACAATGTAAAATATGCTTACAACATAAAATGTGATGATAAAAAAACTCATAGGTACAACTGAAATTGCTTTGAGAAAAATTTCTAAATACAGACTCCCACATAAATAATTTCATTTTTCCAAAATATAACATTTTCCACATTGACAACAGATTATAAATATGGTCTACCTTCTCTCACCTTTGTTCTTGTTACAGGTAAATGGAAAAGCAAGCAACAATTAACTTGCCTGCTTTTCAAACTTTAGTCTCAATTTTGTTTAAGATAAAATAAAAGTCTTAATTTGCAACCAAGATCTTTAAAATGCCTGACTCATTTTCATTTTGTTTCAAATCACAATTTATTAAAAAGATAGATGATGATGCAAATATGTTTGGGTCTTTCTTTTTAGAAAAGCATTTATTATGCAGCTGCCAAAATCATCCATGCAACAATATCCCTGAAGTGTGTGTATACACGTGTGTATATTTTTAGTCTTTCTTTTTTTTTGGTATCGGAGATCGAACTCAGGACCTTGAGCTTGTGAGGCAGGTGGTGGAACCACTGAGCTAAATCCCCGGCCCTTATTTTTAAATATAGCTGTTGCACTATTCTGGCTTTTTGGCATGCTGAAATCACACTGATAATCTTTGTGGGCTGTGACCACAAGTTCAGTATGACCCAAATCATTCTGTGCATTCATCTGTGACAGCAAAGCCACACCCACTACATGTGCTTCTAAATCTTCATTTCCCTTCCTCTTGGCCACTGGAGAGACAATTCACACATAAGCTAAATAAAAGCCCATGACCCTATACTGTACATGTGCTTGGAGCTAATTAAAATAAGTGTATTTCTGCTATGGAAATCCTGTGGCCTAGAAATTACTAGATTATCTTTTCAAAACATTAGTAAGAGGATACTTTTTTTTTGTTTTGTTTTTTTGAGCTCAAAGAAATGGGAGTCAGATCAATAACTCATTCTCTACATTTAGGATGCTGTTTTAGAAGCAAGTGAATCATTTTATTCCAAGAGTGTACTCACTAAAGAAATACATTAATTAAGAAACTGCCTGAGTGTGGTACATCTGAAATGACTGAAAAATGAAATACAGAGATTTAGTTACTTTCCTGGCAGAGTCCGGACTACAAATGAAAACTGACATTTAAAATAATATGGAGGGAAATGCAGAGACACTCGAATGCTTATCACTTTATTACTGTAGTTGTAACTGAGGATTTAAATTACTCACTGATGTTGATCCACGTGTTGAAATTGTCCTTTATGGCTTTCCCGACTTTTGTTCTGCCGCTGCCCTCAGAGAAAATGTGCATGGTGATTGTGGAGCACCCTGTGCTACCTTCCTGGGCCCTGTTCCTGTGCTTCTTACTCACACCTTCCCAATCAACTTTTCTGTTGGATAGCACTGAAAAGTTTTTGCTGATTTTCAAGGCAGTCTTTCAGTTTATCCTCTGTCAGAGTCAGTCGCTGCTCCAAAATTGACACAGTCTGCAAAAAGTAGGACAAAATAATTAATGCCTGGTAATTTGGTGGTGAGGAAAACAGTGCTGCTCTCTGCATGGGGGACCCTTGTAGAAGTGGGAAGTCAAGTTGGCTCAAAAATGAGCCCCAGTGGGCCAGGGATTTAGCTGAGTGGTGCTGCCACCTGCCTCGTAAGCACAAGGTCCTGAGCTTGACCCCTAGTAATAATAATAAAAAAAGAGCTCCTGAATTTGCTTTCTGTTTTGCTGGGCTTTACCACAGGACAAAGCACTATTGAACACTGTGAGGAAAAGAAAAAAAAATGATGTATAAGAGGAAAGAGAAGTAAAAGATCAGGCCTAGGAAGGTGATGCTTATACCTGATACTTGAAGCCCTTGGGCCAGGGAAGAGATTTCTCACGGCTTTCTGAGAAGTGCCACAGGTTACACGGTGATGTGTGGAGTGGCAGTAAGAGCAAAATTCTACAGGCCTGGGCCAGGTGCTACTGGTCATTCTGTCACACTCCAGTCCATGCAGAGCAGTACCTAAGGCACCTCAGTCAGATGGATAACTGATTGCCATTAGTTCCCTCACCCAGACTGTGGTAACAGTAGCTCACAGGGGTCTTGGGAGGACTAAACCAAGTAATGCATGTGCAAGGCTTAAGCTGACTCAATGGATGTTGGCTGTTCTAACTCTGCTTGTATGTGATCACACAGACTCATTTAGAATATGTACATACACATGTACGGCAAATTAGGGAAATCTCATTTTTTGTGATATTGACTATATTGCCTTTGGTCTTTTATATCTTTTATTTCTTAGAAATCTTATTCCAAAGTAAAGCATACATTATTTAAGAAGTCACACAAAATACATGTGTCAATTAATGAATTCTCATAGAACACATTATAACTATCACCCAATGGCAACTTTGCATTGTTGAAAAAAAAACAGCTGAAAGGAAAAATAAATTTTGGCTCATAGTCTTAGGAGTCAACCCATGGTCAGCAGACTCAACTGCTTCTAGGCCTGAAGACCTGGAAGGAATGGCGGGGGAGCTGCACCCAAGCAGCAGCTGAGGCGAGCAAGATGGAGGAAGAAGGGGCCAAGACAAGGTCCTAGGTTGCACCCCCGTGATCTGCTCCTTTCAACCATGCTGCATCTCCTGTTTCCATCCCCTCCCAGTAGTGCCATCAAACTGGGATCTCATCCATCAGTAGGAGAACCCACTACTGAAATCAGAACTCAGGATCTAGTTATGCCGTGATGTGCATTGGGGAGACATTTTAAATAACAAATGACTACAATCTCGCCAGCCATCCCAGAACACTTTCTATGTGTCTGCTACAATCACCTTACCTGGCTCACCTCCACAGAGCCCTCTCTCCTGACTTTATAACCACTTTCTAGTATTTTCTTATGGTTTTATTTCTCACATATACATCGCTAGATACTATAGTTTCTCTTCCCCATCTTTAAGACATAATATGTTTCTTTAATCTGCAGGTACCTAATCTTTCCCTTCTCTTTCTTTCTTCCTTCATTTCTCTTTCTTTTCTTCTTTCGCCTGTTTGTTTGTGGTGCTGGATTGAAATGCAGGCTCTGTATGACTGAACTTCACTTCCAGACTTCCCTTTCTTCTCTTGACTGTTTGTCTCCATCCATCTGCCCTGTAAAGTTTGTATTAGTCTGGATTTTGGGGATTGCACACAAATGGCAGAATTCAGTCTTCTTTTCCACTCCCTGTACATTTTGTAAACAGGCAGCTGGGTCCAAAGCCTTGGTCGGATTAGATCCCTTAGTATGACTGTAGGTCAGTGACAGTGAATCTTTTACGGCTTTCAACGATATAAACAGCCTGCCGGGGCATGGGTGCCACAGGTTTGTCACCACTGCTACAGGAGGCCATCTGTTTTTCACTAGAGGACACATTAACAATGTTTGGTCATTTTCCTTTTAGTATGCTAACAATTCAGTGCCTCGGTCTACTCATTTCTTAGGAATGAAAATGATAAGATGATTCTAAAATGTATTCATTGGGAGAATTGGTGAACAAGACATAGTTTCCTCATCTATTCCTCGATTACCTACTGCCAGAGTTCACATAGGAAAGGCCAGATAAATGCTTCATTATATTAGTCAACAAGTTTCAAGACAATGAAATCATTTCCCATCTATATTCTGAGGCTAACTAGTTTCCAGGTAGCAGTTTACCATTACTTGAAAGCTTTTGCTTTCATACTACATAAGTTATGTCATGGCTAATTAAAAATAATAGTGATGCAGATAATACTTGCTACCATATCTGAGTATCCACTACGTGTAAGCAATTTGCTAGGTACATCATGTATGTTACTCCGGTCCTACACACTAAAGCTGATGATGCAATACTACTGACATTGTTAACTTTGGTTAACTCCACTTATCCATCATCTAAAATATAATTTCATTTTAATTTATTTCTACTTATAATTTAGTACTGAGTCATAAACACCCCACAATTTGGTGATGTGAAGTCATCCGTAATTAAAATGAATCAGAACATATTTATGTTACTAACTACTTGCCCACAGATTCACTGCCCCTTTTTGGCAAGTGTGTTGGGCCTGCTCTCACCTCTTTAGTATGTAAAGGAATCCAGCCCTTCAAAATTAATAATAAAAAAATCATAAAGAAATTTAATAAAGCTTAAAATGATTCATTTAACCTTGGATCAGGTAAAAGGGAGAAATGGGTCATGAAACTGAAGGAGAAGGGAATGGAAAGTTCATTTGGGAGAGATTCTAACGTGGACTGACACTGACAGACAACAGGAGATAAGAATATGGGAATAAGTCAACTGAAACTAAACTGGGCATGAAGTTGAGAGAGTAGTGGCCTCTAACTGAAAGAAATGTCTGACAAATACAGACTAAGTCACCTCTAGTACAAAATGCAAAGCGAAAATGGATGACTTTTTAATACGATTTTCACTGAGCAAATCATACATAAGTCCAGCTTCTCACATGGCTCTTTCCTATAGTCTGTCAGACTCCCAAACAATAGACATAGTATCTCTTGACTTCAAAAGTCCTGAGATAGTATCTATAGGACACAAATATTCATTTAATTAGTGGTACTCAACAGTAGATGTAGAACAGAATCACACAGTGTGATTCAACGACTGCGCCAGGATCTTATCCCAGATGGATGGAAATGGGCCCTCTGAGGGAGACCTGGGCACAGATATCACATACACACCTTTCAGCAGCCCTGGTGATACAATGCAGAGCCAACACTGAGAACTGAGTCAAGTGATTTCTACGTAGGAGCTATTTCAACAGGAAATACTTATGCTGGACCAGTGACTGCCACCTCTCTACTTAAACTTTAGCCTCTCTTTCTGTGTAATTTGCAACACCTCTCTTTCTTATAACTTTGCTCTGCCAAATATTCCAAAGAGGATCAACAGAAGACCTCTCCAAAGGACTGGGAGTCAGCAGAGCTGGAGGAGAAAGCTCTTTTGTATTCATTTCAAAATACAGCTTTCTTTATATTACATCTGTATCTCTGACCAACAGTTGGAAACTCTTGGTACATTATTTAAGATGTACTATATTCCTTTTTTGCAAAGGTAAACTGGTGTCAAAGGACTAGTTAAGATTCTAAAATCAGAATGCTAAACCATCACCTCTGGAAGAAACTATAACAACATAAGAAGCTTTGGAATGAGAGAAATTATATATTGGACCATCACAACCTTTTAATAATAGTGAAAAATGATTAACATTGCCAATATTTCACACTAACCTGAAATGTTTATTTTTAACACATTTTTCTTATGGCTCTAAATATTTCTTCATGAGTGGCCTAAGCTGAACACACTACATCACAAATTCTAATGGCAAAAATTCTAATGGTTACTGCCTAGAACCAAATACTATATTGATAGCCTGAAGTTCCACTACCGTTCTTCGTGGCCCACACTACTTTTCTGGTGCCCAGAGCCCAGAGACAGAACAGTTTGTGTGCACATGTGTGAGTGTGCAACCTGCATATGCATCTGTGCACGTGGCCTGTGATCCTCTCCACAATATCTAGCTTAGAGCAGCTCAGCCGGTGTGTCTTGTTACATGACTGCCAGCCGGTGAACGAAAACTTCTCCCTAATCCATTTGTTTTGCAACCTGTTATAACCAGGACTGTCCTGCTTATCTTATCCTGAGACTAAGCATGCCAGCCCACCTGTGTCAAAACATGGAGCTGATCCATAATATGCTCCAAAGCATCGGTCACAGCGAGTGGAACACTTCTTTGACTCTCAGAGGGCAGGTCACTCACGTCTTCTGTTTTCTTTTTCACAGTTGTTGGTGAGCATTCTGGTGACATTAAGGAAGGGTTGAAGAAGCGTCCACAGATCTCTTCATCCTTGTCTGGCAGAGTTCTAACAGTGGTTTCTGTTGTCTTTAATATCACAGAAAAGATAGAAAGACTCATGTTTTTCAAACTTCAAAATGGTAAATATGTACAAGTTTAAAATATTCCACCTCTAAAAATTCCATACTGGCACTTATTTACCCTCAACTTATAATAAATTATGGAAATTGAAAATATAATAAGGAAACAAAGCTGAACAGAGAAAATCCACAACTTTCTTTTTCTTTGAAATATACTTTGCATATATCTGTCTGAGGGATCAGGTGTTCTACCTTTGAAGAGATTGTAAGACGCAGTTTAATTCTCAATTTAAAAATAAACACATCCATTAAGATAACTACTATCCAAAAAGTAGAAAATAACAAGTTTTGGTGAAAATGTGGAAAAATTAAAATTCTCATGCATTATTGGGATAAGTGTAAAAAGGGCTACAAGTTCTGTGGAAAAAATCTGGGCAGTTCCTCAAAAGAAAATTAATCATAGAATTACTAAATGATCTAGCAGTTCCACTCCTAAGTACATATATCCCAAACAAATGAAGGCAAAGACTAAAACAAATATTTGTACAAAAATATTCAAAGCAGCCTTGACTCACAATAGCCCAGATAAAAACAACCCAATTATCCATCAACAGATAACTGCATTATCAAAATGTGCACAAACATAATGAATATTATTCAGCAACAAAAAGAATGGAATTATGATACATATAAGAGCATGGATAAACCTTGAAAACATTACACTGAGTGAAATAAGCCAGACGCAAAAGAACAAACAATACAGTATCATGGGATAGGTAGGTAAATTCATAGAGATGGCAATTAGGGTAGAAGTTTCATGGGGCTGCAGGAAGGGGAGGTTAATGGAGAGTCACTACTTAATGGGTACAAAGTTTCTGTTTGGGATGATAATAAGGTTCTGAAAAATAGTGCTGGTGGTTATACAACACTGTCAAAGTATGCCATATACTGAGACTTTGGGATCAAAGGCACTGTTGTTCTCAATCCTCTCTGCCATTTTTTTTTTTTAAGGAAGATGAAAACTTTCAAATTTCCTTCTGTGTAGCCTTAGTAATTCACCACTTATTTAAATGTAATGAAAACAAACTCTACTATTATTATTCTCGGGAACTGAGAACTGAACCTAGAGCCTTGTACATTCTAGGCAAGTTCCTACTATTGAACTACAGCCCAGCCCCCAACCAGTGCACTTCACCCACGTTTATTTTCACATATGTAAGCCACACCTTGGTGCTCCCGTTCGGCTAATGACCCTGCTCCAGGTCTCCATTGGCTCAGTTGCTCCTACAGCCCCACCCTGTGCCTGCCGCTGTGCTAAGGGCCCGGACACCGTGTAGATAACACCAGCCCGGACACTGCCCTCCTGGGGCTCACTCTATAGCCTTCAGCTGTTTGGGAACTTAATCTGCTTTTCTCCTTCAGAGATTTATGAACTTCTACATTTTGTCATAATTTTGTTTTCTTATTTAACCAATTATATTTATCTTGGAGAGCCATCGTGGTCTTTGAGAAGCTATGCACTGTATCCCTGAATTTCCTACCTCTGGGATGTGCCTGACCATGTCAGGGCATTAACCAAAGGTCCCTGAAGGAGAATGACTTGTTAGGCTATGAAACATCTATCAAATTCCACAGCCTCAAAACAACCTATTACTATCACTTGGGAGATTTTTTTGTTTTGTTTTGTTTTGGGTATTGGGGATCAACCTCAGGACCTTGCGCTTGCGAGGTAGGTGGTGGAACCACTGAGCCAAATCCCTGACCCGCCATTACTATCACTCACCATTGTTCAATTCCACTTAGCAAAGAAAAGCCAAAACGACACTGAAAATGTCCAGAAGAAAACCTCCTGGCCATCACAGGTGAAAGAACAAGTTGCTATGAATGATTTTTGATGCCACTCATGAGACATACTCTGAAGCCTCTGTGGCCTAACTCCCACCCCTGCCCCAGCTGCAGGAACGGGGATAACAACTTTCAGCCTCAGGTGCATGGTTCCCAGCTCCGAGATGGTGACGAGGGCTGGAACAGGAGCAGTGCAGAGGTGAGCACAGAGACACCAAGGCCTCACCGGGAATCCGTCTCGGGTCAGTGTGCATTTCAGACAGCAGGCAACCACCTCACTCACCGAGGCCAACATGCAGATGCTCACGCACCACCTCCAGTGAACAGTTCTGCTCCAAGGACAAGCTCTTCTTTCCTCACTGCTCCTGCTGCCTGCACAGCCGAGTCCATCTAAGCCTCTGAATTATTTCACTTCACTGTCACCTCTTCAGAAAAGGAGTCCCGTGCCAGGCTTCTGAAGCAGGGCCTATGCTAGCACAGCACACGGATGCTTCTGTAACCGATCAGAGCCTGCATTTATGCATTTGCTGCTTGTCTGCTGTCTGTCTTCTCTGGAAGACCTTACCACGCCTGCTCTTCTTGCCACTGCACCCCCTGGAGCTAGTATCACGTCTGATATTTGGCAGGACCTTGAAAAATCTTTGAAAATGTCAACCGCTTACACACAAATTTTACTACTGTTCTCCTCGAGATGGAAACAAAATTCTCTATCAGTTGGTTCTGCTTTAGATACATATGGGGTGGCCGGGGTAGGAGGCCAGTTCCAGGCCAGCCTAGACAACTTAGTCAGACCCTGTCTCAAAATAAAAAAGGGATGGGGATACGTGGGTGTATAGCTCCGTGTTCCCTGGGTTCAATCCCCAATACCCCCCATACTCCACAACATACTGAAGTATGTACATACATTGGTACAATATTAGTATCATACTGTAATACTATCCAATTGTTCATGGGAAAAGGTTCTTACAGATAGTAAAGCAGTTACTGAATTCTGGAGGTTTATGGTCAGGTTGGCTGGTGAAGAAAGGACAGTAAGAAAATGGGGGACAGGAAAAGATTTAAGGCAATCCGAGAAATAAAAGAGCTCCGATATAGAGAGCTTTCGTAATCATTTTCTTGTTTGGGACCAGAAAACAAATACATTACACATGACATATGGCAATGAATAAAGAAATGGAATAGAATGTGTTGAGAGAAAAAAGTACCAGAATGTCATCCTGCAACATATATCTGCTTTTCTGTCTCTCCAAAGTGTTGGAATCTACGCATTAGCAGATTCTTTGCCACTAACCAACCCTGCCTTTGCATCTTGTCTGTACTGGGGAAGAAGGAGAGACAGCTTAGGAAGTTCCAATGTGTTTATTCTTATCTTTTTTTTTTTTCCTGGAACCTGGGATTGAACTTGGGACCTTGCATTTGCCAGGCAGGCACACTGCCACTGAGCTAAATCCCCGGCCCCCAGTGTGTTTATCCTTAAAATTAAATGCAAACTGATGTTTAAAAATCTAGGCTAACAAAGTCCAGCAAATGAGTCTATGTTATCTGCTGCTAGATTCGCTTTTTTAGTAAATACTTCTTGTACTAGACATTAACCACCGATAAATGTGAGTACAGTGTGATGCCTACTGTCAAGGATTCCTTGTTGTGGGGACAGAACTATGACAGGGCAGGGCCTAGCTCTCTCTCAGAGCCCGGGACAGGTCTGGCACTGCTGAATAAGCAAGAAACACAAGCAGACAAAAGACTGTTGGAGTTCAAGAAGAACAAGTGCTTTGGTAGTTCCTAAAAGGAAGAAATCATGTCGTGTCCCCCTTCCTTGTCTCACTTCTACTGCAGGTCTTGAAGAAGAGTGGGAATGGTAACACACTTGTGGATTTGCTCGGCAAGCGAGTGCTTCATGTGGCAAGCATCAGTGCCACAGCAAGGGCACATCAGATACGGCACCTTCCTTCAGAAAGCTTAAAATTCTCCAGGGAACCACTCTGCCCAAAAGCATGAGGGGATAATCACCATCCTACGTTCTCCCTTGGATGTACCCACGATCATCATCTTAAATACAGAAAATGCGGCTTCATCAAGGCACAGAGTATATCTGAGTAGCTGATAACTCCTTATCTTCATCGGTTAAAATCCCCATTTTCTATCTGAACAAATAAAATAGAGCAAAATACAGATTTGACTGACATCAGTCAGCAAACTACTCTGAAAGTCACATGCTCAAGATAAACTACTCTGAACCAGTTCTTTAAATATCATGATTGATTTCAATCCATAGACCCTCATTTGCCACAATTTTTTAAAAAATGTATTTTTAGTGAGCACATAGTGATTATACATATTTATGGGGGACATGCATACTATGTGCAATTATCAGATCACAGCAATCAACGTATCGATCTTGTGAAACGAGAATGTACTTTTTTTAATGCAAAGTGAAAATTTTGTTAGTGCCAAACACATTTCGATTAGGAAATTAGCTGGTTATCATACAATCAAGGTTCATACATCTATAGCCACAGCAATCCTATGCAACAAGAGCAAACCAGAAGGCACTACAATCCTGGATTTCAAATTCTAGTATAAAACCACAGTTATTAAAAGAAAAAAAAGCAGCATGGTACTGGCACAGAAACACACATGTTGATCAAGGGAATAGAACTGAGGATGCAGAAATAATCCCAGGTACCTTTAGCCATCAGATCTTTGACAAAGGAACCAAAAAAACATATTGGAGAAAAGGTAGACTTTAACAAGGGGTGCTGAGAAAACTGGTTATCCACAAGCAGAAGAATGAAATCTAGATACATATCTCTCACCCTGTATTAAAATAAAATAAAAATGCACCAAACATCTAGATATAAAAACATAATGGAGTATGCTGGAAGATAACATAGGTAAGTAAAACTCTTGAGGATATAGGTATAATAGGAAAGACTTTCTGAAAAGAACCCAAGTTGTGCAGGAAATAAAGCCAGCAATCACCAAATGGGACCATATGAAATTAAAAGCCTTCTGCAAAGCAAAGGAAACAACTGACAGAGTAGAGACAACGTGAAGAATGGGAACATTTTTTTTTGCCAGCTCTTCCTTGGGCAGAGAACTAACATCCAGAGTATATAAAGAATTAAAAAAAAGTTAGACATCCCAATAAAAAAGATCAAATAAAAAAATGAGCAATTGAAATAAATAGATACTCTCAAAAGAAGAAGTAAAAATGGCTAATAAGTACATAAAAAAATGTTCAGCATCCTTGCCATTAGAGAAATGCAAATTAAAACAGCACTGAGATTTCACTTTGCCCCTGAAAGGGCTATCATCGAGAACTCGAAAACAACAAATGATACCTACCAAGATTGTGAGGAGAAATGAACCTTTTATGTTGGTGGAAATGCAAACTATTACAACCGTTAGGGAAATCAGTACGAAACTTCAAAGAAAAACACCCTAAAAATAGAAGTTTTATTTGATCCACCTCTCCTCCTGTGTATCTTCGAATTACAGATATATTACAGTGCTATACTCATACACATGTTTATAGGCAGAGCAATAGACTTAACATAAGCTGGTGTTTTTCTGGGTGAGGACAACAGGGGATAAAAGGGGCAAGATTGTGGCTGTAATGATGAACCGCACAATCTAAGTTCAGCAAAAGAGACAGGCAGACACAGGGGATGGGCAGTGAGGAGGCAGAGGCTTGATGGACTGGAGGCCTCTTCTGAGGTCCATGAATCGTCCAAGTAGGAGGAAGTGGTGGCTGAACAGTAGGAGGTTTAAGCTGAGTTTACTATCAGCACAAAGGATTCAGATGGTCACTGAGTTCATCTGAGAATCCTGACAAAGAGAGGATGTTTGATTTTTCAAAAGTGACTGAACGTTGCTCTATATTTAGTTCTTTTCCTAAGGTCAAAAGTCAGTGTTGACTGGAGTAGATGGACCAACCAGGGACAGAAGAAAGAGCTACAGCGTCCCCACATGGGGTTGTCACAGGATCACTGCATAGAATTTATCCTCCAGTTCTGAAAGGTTTAGAAATTTAGTGTGTTGATTCTAAAGGAGATAACTGCATCACTTCTTTTATACATGAACAATGTATTTATTATGTATTCCAGTGAAAGAACATACCAATCTGATCAAGTCTGATTGATTTAGAAGAATTTCCAGGATAAAATCAGGGAATGTCATGTAAAATTTTATCTCCAAACTAAATTTACAGAGCCGAAAAAGTCTTATTTGTCCCTCAACAGCCATCTATTTTTTTTCTCAAACACAAATTAAAAAATGCCTTCAAGCTTTGCATATAAGGTTTTATAGAGGGTTTGATTTTTTCTTTAAAGCATATTTCCAAATTTAAAATTCCTTAAAAATTTTTTTTGTTGTTGTTATTTGAGACAGAGTCTCACTATGTGGCTTGGGTTGGCCTTGAACTCACTAAGCAGCCCAGGCTGGAGTCAAACTCTAGAGTGCTGGGTTTATAGGTATGCACACCATGCCCAGCTGAAATTTCATTTTTAGTAGAAGACTTGAAAAACATACCCCAACAGGGCTACCGATAAGAATATCCAAATGATTAATTTGGTCCCCTTGAAAAAGGCAGCTAAAGCCACAAATTTACTACTAATATTGTCTTTAATCTTTATTCTCATTTCTATAAAAACATGTTAATTCTGAAGTCATGAATAGGTAGCATACAACTAGGACAAATATACAAAAATGCCCTCCTACTTTTACTTATCATATGATTAAGAAAACCCAAGTTATTAGTTCTTGACAGGAAGATCTATCTCCTGATGTCCTTCCGTATACCAGACAAACCTTAACGATGAAAGTACTGACTATGAGTATGGAGGACAGAGAGGAACAGGCAGTGACACAGACGGAGCGCTTTTTTCTGAGTTAGTCTGGAACTAAAGTGGCTGCAGGTACGGGTTAGTTTCAATATTCTGGGCAAATATCACACCACAAAACTTCCTGTAAATTCAGAAGGGAAAATAAACAGCCATTACTTCTTTTGTCAACCTTATTATTGTACCTCAAAGGGCAATCACCGTTAGACAGTGATCCTTTTTATCTGTTTTACATAGCATTCAACAAGAGTTATTATATAGCATGTGAAATGACTAGGGCAAAAATAGTCACCCTTCACTCTGTTTGAAAAGGGTTTGTGGGACTTAGGGTTAGTGGTAGAGGGCTGGCCTAGCATGCATGAGGCCCTGGGTTTGAGCCCCAGCACTATAATAAATAAGTAAGTAAATAAATAAGAATACAAAGGTCTCTGTGTGCATGTGTGTGAGAATCTAAACTCTAATTATAAAATGACATTTTAAAAGTGATAATTTAGCTGGGCATGGTGGCGCACGTCTGTTATCCCAGCACTCAGGAGGCTGAGGCAGGAGGATCGCTGTGAGTTCCAGACCAGCCTGGGTTACATAGTGAGTTCCAGGTCAGTCTCAACTACATAGTGAGACCCTGTCTCAAAAAACAAAACAAAACAAAAAAAGTGATAATTTATATTTAAGTAGGTATTACTTCTTGGAAAAACTAGGGGTTTGACTTGGGAAGCCTTATTTGGTTTAGCTTTACATACTTCATGTCTCAAAAAATCTATCTAGGGCCAGGGAGGGATATAGCTCAGTGGTTCGCAAGTGCAAGGACCCGAATTCAATCCCTGGCACACACACACACACACACACACACACACACACAAAGCCATCTAAAGGTTCAGGGCGGTGTACACACCTGTAGTCCAGCACTCAGGAGGCTGAGGCAGGAGGATCACTGTGAGTTTGAGGCCAGCCTGGGCTACACAGTTAGTTCAGGGCCAACCTGAACTATAAGGCTCCTCCCCTGCCCCCTGCCCCTCCAAAGGAATAGAAAAGCCATCTACTCATCTTTCAAAACACTGTCCCTTTTCTAAATGCAAAACAGCAATCAAATGGAATTAACACGAGTAAGAAAGGCAACCTCACTGCCACGCTAGAGTCAGCAATCGTTGTCTTCTTATTAATAGATAACTGATTTTTCAAAAGCTCCAAGCATGCTTTTAGAAATCCAACAGAAAGGTATAAAGTAACAAAGCAGGCTTCTTCCTCTACCTTAAGAAGTAAAGCGTACCCCTCTCTGATCTATATTCTTTCCGTTCCCCCTTAACGGACACCACCATGCCGACTACAGTGTGTATCATTCCCCAAGTCATATCTCTTTACTTGTATTACATATGCAGACATTCCTAAGCAATCATATTGTTTTTGCATGTATTAGCACTTTACACAAAGTAGTATTTTTCTATTAACTGGTATTTATTTTCTATGAACCAGTACTGTTAGATTTGTCCACAGTGCTACATGTAATTTAGTTCCCTTATTTGTACCGCCAAATAGTTTTCCACTGACTACTCCCCAATTTATCTACACCTACTGTTATGTAGCAGTGACTGCCTCAGTGAGCATTCCTGGACACAAGTATGAGATTTTTCTCCACAGTGGAATAATTAAGTTTGGAGCCAGATGCTGTTCAAAATGGTAGAATCAGCTTACTTTTTACTAGCAGAAGTCTCTCTTTTAGCCACAAGGCCACCAATCCTGGATTGTTAGTAGACACACTAGATTTTGCCAAAATTATAGGCAGAAAGCCATACCTCATGGCTTTAATTTGTCTATTTCTGTGATTACTGATAACCTGAGCATATTTTATATGTATATTAAGGGATGTCTATTCATAGCCTATTTAAATCCTTTACCGACTTTTTAATTGGTCTATTTCTTCTTTTTTTAAATTTATATTTAATATTTATTCTGGATATTGGTACTTGGTTCTTTATATGTACGATACATTTCCTATTCTGTGGTTTTCTTCACTTTTACTCTGTGAGTTTTCCTGATTTCCAAAAATTATTTGTAATGCAACCAAATGTACCAAACATTTCCTTTATGAATTGAACATTTTATTTATATTAAGGAAATCCTTACCTACCAAGAATACATAATATATTCTTCTGTTTTCTTTTAGAGACTTTCAAGTATTGCTTTCACATTAAATCTTTAACCCATCTGGTAGTGATTGTGGTTAACTGACGATAACTGTATTTTTTTTCAGCTCATTGATTTCCCCAGCAGCATGTGGACAGTGCACTAGTGATTACTCATCTTCACAGAGAGACAAAGCCAAGTTTTTCACATGGTGACTATCCACACTGGTGTTTATACTTTCCATCATGAATTCTTTGTTTCTCCCTGTAATTATACCATGCTTAGACCTTAAGGAGTCTTCACTCCTCACATAATTATCTGATTATTTTTGGCCCTTTCTCTATATAACCTTTATAATTAACTTTTAAGTTTCATTACAGTCTTACTCGGCTCAAATTCAGATTGTCTCAAATTTGTAAACTTGAAAAGAAATGAAATCTTTACAGCATTGAACCTATCTACAGAGTATTTAAAAAAAATATCGACCCCTTTTTAAATTTCATGTTTATCCTAACACAGAGGTTACTCTAGAATTCTCTGTATCATTTCAATTTTAATACATGTGCTGCAAAGCACACACACGACAACCACCACCACTTTTGTATCCCAACAATGCACTGTATATGGAGAGTCAACCAAATGAACAGTTCAAACTATGTCCTTGAATAATCATCCTCACTTTATGATATATAAAATTATCACAAAGTCAGAAGTATGACTTAAGAATACATTTTTGAAAAAATATTTGCCAGGCTTCCTTATTCTGAGTTAAATGATACTATTCCTCAGCCTTTCTTACAGGTCTTATTTTTTTTGTTCCTGAAAACTTTGGAAGTGCCAAATTCAACAGAAATCAGCTATGTGTTAAAAGTCAAGAGATAAGTTTTAAAAATTATACAGAGAAAGTAAATCATGTTTTTGGTCATTTGCATAAGGGTTCAGCTTCCTTACTGTGTTTAAAACTGTGAAGAAGCAATTTTAGGGCAGGAATTCATTCATTTAACAGATACATTCAAAACCTGGCAAGCTATAGAGATTATCTTTTAAAGGACAAATATTATATTTATATATTCTATTCGTTATTCAGCATAATGTGAATATTCTAGTAGGATTAATAATAACTATGGGTTCATAGAATACCAGTAATGTTTATTCATAGCTAGGTATTAAGACTTATTCTTCTATTTATTATTCATTAAATAATTTAAAAACCAGGGAGTGAAAGCCTCCTATGTAGACTTGTATACAAAGCATGTATTATATTCATTGGTTTTAACTTGCATTTGCAAAACAATAGTCTTTTCTCATTGTGTCTAAATAGATGCAATCTGCCCCCCAACATCTCTTAATAATTCAGTTTTGCGTCTTAAGGCAATTATGAATTTTGCTTGCATCCCTATTTGTGATATCACATAATTATCTATGATATTATGTAATATGGTGGTTACATAAATGGGACACGAAACTATGCAGACTTCACTTTGTTTATGAAAATTGCATGGGGAATAGGAATGAAGACTAGAAATGGAGAGTAAGGAGACAGGAGGGGTCCCCAGTGGGTTGTCCCAGGCTGTTTTTATCCTCACTCCTCTGCATTAACTGTACGTGCTCTTTAAACCTTCCTTATCTGTGAAATGGAGATAACACTGGGCTACAGCATATGGCTGCTTTAAGACTGAAGGGGAAGTGGGAAGGGTAGCAAAAGGAAATAAAGGGAAAGCAAAAAAAACATGAGAAAATGAAAAAATGGAAATAAACTATTTGTAAATAGGAAAGGGAGGAGGGGGTGAAGGGAGGGCAGGGATAAAGGGAAAAAATGAGAACAAAGACCTGTCATGTAGAGGTGCAAGATCCCAATGATGAATGTAACTGTGCTGTATATCGAAAATATACCAGTAAACTCAATGAGGAAAAAAAAAAAGACTGAAGGTAAAGAATGAAGGGAGGGCAGGGATAAAGGAAAAAATGAGAACAAAGACCTGTCATGTAAAGGTGCAAGATCCCAATGATGAATGTAACTGCTGTATATCGAAAATATACCAGTAAACTCAATGAGGAAAAAAAAAAAGACTGAAGGTAAAGAGTCTATCTAGAGTTCGTATTACATTACCTGCCATCATCAGTATCATACAATGTCCTCTTCTTCGTCACTGAGCTCTAAACTGTATCCTCCTAGCAGGCAGAAGCCAGAGCTTAGCTTCATTCACACAGCTGACCGGTACATCTTGTGTAAGGTATGCAAGAGTCACTCATGAAATGTTTTGATTTAAAAATATTTACTATATTCCAAATAATTTCCTCTTTCCTATCCACATGTCCAGTTTCTCAATTTTAATGTTAAACTCTCTAAAGGCAAGTTGGAGTTCAATAAATAAACAAATGAGCCATACTAAATGAATTTTAACAAAGACATAAATGAATAAAGTATACGATGAATTTAAAGTAAAAATCACTGTTCAATCCCCCATTAAGAAAAAAAACAGGTCCCCACTTTTATACTACTGACTGAAAAATGTATATCATATCTTTTAAAATTAAAAAATACCCAGCAGGCAAAATTCTGATATTTAAAACTTTTGGCCCCATCATGTTAGTGCATGAAAAATGATTTACTAACAACACAGGAAACCAATCTAAAATCAAGCAATTAGATCTAGGAACTTCACTGCAAATGCCTAATCTTTTAATGAAGATTAAAGATCATATATAACTGGGCTGGGGATTTAGCTCCGTGGTTCTGCTGTCTGCCTCGCAAGCACAAGGTCCCAAGTTCAATCCCCGGTACCAAAAAGTAAATAAATAAAAAAAAATATTATATACAACTGGACATATCTCCAAAACTATGGCATAAAAGTCTCTGGAAGGAATAGCTTTTTTCTTTTCTTTTCTTTTTTCTGTTTTTTTCTGAGACAAGGTCTATGTAGTTCAGGCTGGCCTTGAATTTACTATGGAGCTCACTATTTTCCTGCCTCAGCCTCCTGAGTCCTGGGATTACAGGTGTGCACCACCACGCCCAGCTAAGAATAGCATTCTTAAATGGCTTATGAGTAGAGTAGTGTGACAAATACTTTATCATAAATAACTGAACACAAGATGTTATGGTAATACTACGCTGTTCGATAGAGATATCATATCTTACCGCCATACATTTTTGTGTATAAAAGGCTGTGGGTATTTTCCTCCCTTATTTTGCTAGTAAAAGAAATTCAGAGACCAAAAAACAATAAAAATAATGACTCTGCTTATAAAAAATACTTTTTCTTAATCACCATGGGGAAAAATAGCACTGAAAACTAACATTTAAATACTGATATAAAACTCAAAGGATACTTTCACAGATGTCATTAGTCAAGAAATACGAACTTGAAAATTATGGAATCATGACAATTTATCTTCACTCACACTTTTGCACACTTGTAAACACACACACAGATGAGTAAGCAGGAAGTTCTTAAAGTGAACTCATGATACCAGGACAACATGTTTACTGTGCACAGCTATTAAACAAAATGAGTTTTTTCTATTTCATATTTAAGTTGCAGAATTTACCAGATAACCAATATTGTTAAAATAAATGCTGTCTGATAATCCTTCCGAATGAATGAGATGCAGGTAATGCAAATGATTGATCTGTTTATCATAATCTGTACCACGTTTACTATGGAACCATGATTTAGGGTTCACTCTTTTGGACCTTGTGGCTTGATTGATCAGTTAAATATTCTCAATTCTGTATTTCTAGACTGGATGCGCCACACCCAAGCCAGGTTCCTTCCTGTTATCCGGCACCAGCTCCACACTTGGGAGCTCTCCTAGACTCTGCCCTCTCCACCTCCGTCCCTTTAGTAAACAGAACTTAGGGACTTTCTCTTCTGTAACTCCCAAGTCAGTCTCCTGTTCCTCATTCCCTACGTTCTCTCTGGATTGCTTCTTCAATTGCCTCCACGATCACCATCTCCAGTCTCACCTTCCCTTCAGCCCTTCCATTTCACTAGAGCAATTGTTCTTTTTTTGTTTTTGTTTTTTTCCTCCTAGTACTGGGGATTGAACTTAGGACCTTGCACTTGCTGGGCAGATGCGATGCCACCGAGCTATATCCCTGGCCTCTAGAGTAACTGTTCTTAAACTTGAATCCCACTTTCCCTCTCCTGGCTTGGAGGCCTCCACAGGTTTCCCTTAAATTCTCACCAGATATCTTCAAAGGACATTTACGGTATTCACAATTCATTCTCACCTCTCCACCGAGTGGCCAACAGGACATGTCCCATTCTCAGAATTCATTCCCCTCGGAAGCCTTCTTACCTTTGCACTTCCTAAACTCTATCCTGTTCCCCATATTACCAGCCAAATTCTTAAAAGGATCAGCTTATGTATGAGTGATTTCTAGGACACTTTCCGATATACTTTTCTGACCTGCACCCTAATTCTCCAGGGCTCATGCATGCACACCCACCCCCATGCAGCCACACATGCAAACACACCACACAATCTATTTAACTACTCCACTAATTACTCTCAAAGCAATTTAGGCATGTATCACTATTCCTAGACTCAGTCTCTCCTTTGTGCCCATTCTTTAATATGTTATAACAGGTACTCAACAAATGTACTAAATAAAAGAACAATTCTATTCTAGCTGACTCTTTCACTCACACCCCTTCTTTCTCCACTCCCTCTTTACCCACTTTATCCTGGTGCATATCTGCATCACACCATCATAACATCTCTTCAAAAGGTTACTAATAGTTTCTACTAAATTCACCAAACATCTTTTGATCTTTCTCTTGAGTTTCAGCCATATTTTTACCATGTCTAGAAAAGCTCCTCCTCCCTTGGCTGCCACACTGCCACAATCTCTGGTTTCCCTGTTTCTTCCCGGGCCTCCCCTGTCTCCTTTACAGGATTAAATTCTTTTATCAGATCACTTTATTGAAATTCCTCAAGGCCCAGTCCTATATCTTTACATTTTTCTGAAATTAACATACTCCTTTTAGTTGACAATGGTAGCTGTACATATTTATAGGTACAGTGTACATATCGGTGCATGTACACTATATGTGATACAGGTCAGGGTAACTTTATCTGTGAAGACAAATCATTTGTATTGCTAAACACTGTTTTCAGTTTGTACTCTCAGACAATCTCATTTAAGCCTGGTGGTTCAATTACCATATGTACAATATTCATATATTCTCATTTACACTCTAGATCTTTCCTTTTATCTCCAGATATGTGTACACTGTTTGTTGGAAATCTGCCATGTACTCTTGGATGTTTAAAAGAGACCTCAAACTCAAAAGTCCATAATGGAACTGGTAATTGAAAACTTGGCCCATTTAGGAAATCCCTACCTTAATGAATGGCACATCAATGTATAAGCTTGAAATTCAGGAATTATGCTTGACAACACCCTTTCTCCCCGTACTCATTACAGATTTTACCAATTGTATTACTAATGTGTAACCCAAATGAACTGAAATCTGCAAAGGACAAAATGGGAAAAAGGTGTGGTGCATGCCTATACTCCCAGAACTCTGGAAGGCTGAGGCAGAAGAATCACAAGTGAGATCTTTTCT